TCTGCTTTTTTCCCCTTCTTCTGGATACAAACAATAAAGTATCAGCGCCAGACCAGTGGTTTAAATTATATTTTACTCTCCTGATTTCTTTTCTTTTCATTAAAAAATAAATAAATGTTTAAAGTTTTGTATTGCATAGCCTATATATTTTTAAAGATTATCATTCAGCCTACCTGCAGCGCATGAGGTTGTGTGCTGGGCAAATACCCTTTACTCATGCTACCCATTTCAGTTATGACACTGTAAACTTGACTTGGCAGGCTGATCATCTTTAAACTCAAAAGGTGTTTTTAACTTGAGACTGCATGCTTCTGCATAATGTGATGTTTCTTATTACAACTGTTAGCGGTGTCAAAATTAAAGCAAACATTAAAAATGGTTTTGTTTTATCAATTGTATAGTTTAGTTTTAATAATAGCTAATGTATATAATAAATTATAATATCGATTATTGTGTAGACTACAATGTTCAACAAAACAATTTTATTAGGTTACTCTAATAGACCTAATCCCTAACTGAAAAACGAATGTGAAAATGACAGGCAGTTGCGTCTTTGCTAAAATTAATTTAACGACAAATTTCTTTTGCTTTTTTCCCCTTTATAGATCAAAAGAGCAGTATTTAAATAATTATTTCACTAAAACATGAATTGAATGCCCACCCACCAAACACACAACGTTGCCTCAACGTAGCGACCTTCCTACAACGTTGTACCAACCTTGCAAAAAGGTTGAGGATTCTACGTTGTTGCTAAACGTTGTCACAACGATGTCATAAGGTTGCCATTTAAACATCACGAGGGCCGCATACTTTAGGTTGTGCTTAGGTGGCGTGGACAACCACTGTACAACATTTACTGGTCACAGCTGAATCAGTTTAAATTTCAACAAGCCGTCGTCTCATTCATCAACGACCGAGGAGACGTGAGTATTGCTTTATTTCTTCTTGCTAAATAAGATACGTAAATCGTGAATATTCAGACAAACCTACGATTTCGACAACAATCTGTTCCAACATTACACACACACAAAAGCCGTAATGAAGTTGTTACGAGCGAGTAACATTTCAGCATTCCGTTCACGGACGGCGACAACATTAAAATCATTATGTTAAATCTCTCGATAAAACATTTCCTGATTATTTACCTACGCCTAGTCTTTAGTCAAATAGGAAATAATGTTTTTGAAGTTCAGTTTTTTCCATATCCATAGTGATCAGTCAGTATGACACTTCATCACACGAGCCGACCCACTTTTTACAAAACACACAAAATAACTTTTAAATACAAAACACCTCTGTGCAGTTTGCGTCCCGGTAAAGGGACAGTTCACTCAAAAATGATATGTACTCACAAATTATTTGCCCTGTAAATAATAAGTGATTCCAAACCTCTAGGTTTCTTTATTCTATTGAACACTAAAGACTGTAAGCATTTGCTTTCATAGTAAAAAAACACTAATTAAATAGTTACAGTTTTCCAGCTTTATTTAATACATCTTTATTGTTTAGCAGAAAAAAAAGCCAAATAAGTTTAGAACAAATAAAGGATGAGGCTAAATGGCAGAATTGTCAGTTTTGGGTGAGCTATCTCTATAAGTTAAAGTATATAAGTTGATGTTCATATGCCTAATTAATATAGATATCAATAAAAAGGTCTGCTAGTCTAAATTTCTATTTTGATTGATCTTTTAATGTTTTATTTAAAACCCACTCTTTTCTTTGCTCAACAGGCTATTTTCACATGGAGGTAATCTTCTATTGATAATTTCTGGATTTTAAGTATGTGTAAGTTGCATAAAACTCTATTGCTTAACCACTCACTGTTGTTTTCAAATTACTCGTGTAACTTGTCTTTCAGAATGGTTTCAGCTGTTGAATTCACCTCAGATCAGTGTTGCTGTAATTCCCGATCTATGGAAAGAATAATTGAATGAGGTAGATGTATACTACTCTATTTACTATCATAATAAATGTAGTTATGTTACTTAAAACAGCATGTTCATAATGTGGAAAATAGATCATGCTTATGAAAAATTACTTTATTATTTTGTACAGCTGTTATTGAAATGACACTAAGTTTAACATTCCATTTATAGCGAGCAACGCCACAACTACAGGACCTCTTCTTTCTCTTCTCATAATTTAAGTAAGTATTGGGAGACTAACTCTGTTAACTCAAACCTGTTTTCCCTGTATCTCTAAATTTATTTAATTGTATGTGATTTTGGTATATGATATACTATTAAAGCATTAAAATAAAGTAGGCTACATAATTACTCACTGGAGATTTTCTATGTAATGAAATTACAATAAATGTCTGAAACTTCAATAACTTGCTAGTCATAGTCGTTTCCATCTGTCCTCTCTTGTTCACTGCCTATTTTGACTTGTGTCTGCTGTGGATCTCTGAAGCTGGATTATCTGTTGAATTTGTTTTTTTCCTCTGACAGCTTTCTCCATACCAACAACTATGCCTGGTCTTCAGCTGCGCTCCCCGGTCTGCTGTATTCTCCAGTCCAGCTTCACTGCCCAGTGTCTGAATTTTAATTTATATATTTATATATATATATATATATATATATATATATATATATATATATATATATATATATAATCTAAACTTTATACTGTTTGTTTATAATTAGAGGTGTACTGTATGTATTAAATGTTGTGAAATATATATAATAAAAAGTTTGATTATATTCATTTGTGTGTTATTTACACTTTAAAGTTTACACATGCAGTTGTTAAATTAAATAGGAAAAATAAATGAACAATATTTCATATTAAGCAATACTGGAAAAGAATTGCTGCTTATCCTGTATTCTAGGCAGTATTGATAAACTGCCACAAAAAATATTAATACAAGTAGTAAGAACGCCGCCTCGCGGTTGCTGAATGTCGCACGACAACGTTGCTACAGCCTTCTCACGTCTTACATTTCTACGTTGTGACAATGTAGCGAGCACGTAAGCGGCAACGTTGCCTTTGAAAAAAATACAACGTTGTGCAGACATCGCTACAACGTAAATGTGTTTGTTGGGCAGTTCTTTCCCGTGTGAGTTTAGTGCGCCTCCGCCGCGTCTGCGTTTTTAAGGTTACAGGTGCACCCTGACCTGACACGGGGACCAGATCTCTGTATTGCTTTAATTTCTCAATTTTCATAACTGCATTGCATTTTCATATGGTAAAATATCAAAATTTATGTTCTGAAAGTAGTAGGAATGACGGGAGTGTTAGTAAATAACAGAAAGAACTTTCACTTTTGAGTGAACTTCTGTCACGTGTTATTTTAGTATGATAAAATAAACAAAAATAGTAATGCAGAAAAGTATTTTTCGCTCTGCCAAGCCTTCTCTGTTGCTGTATAGAGAAGCAGCCTGCTCAGTCTCCTAGGAAATAATATTACCCCGGCCCCACCCCGCCCACCGACTCCTGAACGTCTCACTCACTCACTCACTCACTCACTCACGCGGGCATGCAGTGCGGTCTCATGAGGAAACGCAGCTTTTTGATATAATGTTTTTCTTGTTCCCAAATACAAATAATTTATCAAGTATTGTTTGAAATAAGTATTCGTAAAAACACGCTATTCCTGCTTTTCCGAATACCGTATTCCGGTTCGGCTCCACCCATAATATATATATAATTTTTTTTTTTTTTTTTTTTTGCATCGCACCCTCCTGCGATGTGACTATCGCGGATGCGCACATCGCGATTTCGATGCTGAAACGATGTATCGTGCAGCCCTAAGGGTAAGTATTACCACCGAAAAAAGTAGTTAACATAATTTTTTGTAGACTTGTTTGTGACGGCTTTCAAAAACCTTTACAATTGGATATTTTATCATTTTTGAAATGCATATTAAAGGGATAGGTTATCAAAACATCATTATCATTTACTCATCCTTTGCTTGTTTCAAACCTTTATGAGTTTCTTTTTTCTGTTAAGCTTAAACGCAGATATTTTGAGGAAAGCTATAAACCTGTAACTTTTGACTTCCATAGTAGGAAAAACAAACACTATGGAAGTCAATGGTTACAGACTTCCAGCATTCTTCAAAATATCTGCTTTTGAGCTTAACAGAAAAAAGAAACTCATAAAGGTTTAAAGTCACATAAGGGTCAATAAATTGTGCTCATGTTTTTAACTTTGGTTGAACAATTCCTTGTAGTATGGTAATAATAATAATAATAATATGTATTACTGTTAATCCCAATGATTTTATTGATATTTTACTGGCCTGTCATGTGTGACTACACATACGCTACGAATAGGGTACACTACAGGGCTACATTATATGCTGCTCAAAGCAAAATACTGAACGCATTTAACTTAATTATATAATTAAAATGTGGACGTGTTTAAACTTTCTCAACAAAAATGCATTTTAGTGTTTTTTTTTTTTTTTTTTTTTTTTTTTTTTTATAAAAGAAATGTAAAATAGGCCGGGGAAAAAAATCAAGCAACAAGTGAAAAATAAATAAAACATGATTGTTAAATGTGTCCTTAAATGCATTGTTGCAATATGACATATGCTTATGGCAACACAATCACACATCAATTCGGAACTTTTTGATTTAGTGGCTAATTCGTATAAAATTGTATAATCTCATTCAAGCTATTTAGTACGATTTGCTCATCAACCAATGACGGTTGGGTTTAGGGGTGGGGGTTGGGTGCCACTTTTAATTGTACATTTTCATATGACTGAACTCTTAGCCGCTAAAATGACAAAACATAAAATTGTTATGTTTTCTCATGGGATCAGGCTAGCTTATCGTGAGTAAACAAATACCAGAGTATGAGCTTTAGTGGAAATATGTAGATAAGCATGAAGATGTGGAGAGTGTCACAATAAAATGTTTCCTGTATTTACTGGTCATCTATATATTGTTTTGCCACATTTTATTTACATAGCTGCTGTTGTTTTTATATTTGTCTTCAATTTTGAGGCAAGGATATTGATTTATTTATTTTTTGCTTGTTTTGTTTTTTAGATGTTTTATACCTCAGTGCCAAATCAGCAGCAGGATGAAGAGAAGCAGAACTTGCAGCAAGAACCAGGTGAATAGCATTTTATGCAGCTATATAATTTTCTTTAATCTCATATTTATTTTTATAAAGAGGTATACACTGTCAAAGGTACCAAAATAGCAAACCGTCTCATAAAATTGTTTGGGCAGCTAGCACAACAGAATGGTACTAAAGGCTGGAACGAGACCTGCTGAAAAACTGCACTGTAATAATACAATAACAGCGTTTAGCAATAAACCATGGTCAAACAAAGCTTGTTGTTTCTTGTGACATAAAGACACATGCCAGTAGATTAAATTCAATTCAAGCTTGTATAGTGCTTTTCATCATAATTATTCTTTAAATGTGGCTTTTCAAGAGGTCCACAAATTACATTTGACAAAATCTGACTGTTTGGTAGAGTGAAAAGCATATAAACTAGCAGTTATACAATTTATAATGTCCTTTTCAAAAAGATGACATCTATATGTATACATAGATACTAAGATTTCAGAATAGATTACAAGCTGTTCGATTTTAGATGCTAAGATATGAACTATACTGTACTTTATTGATAATCAAAACAAGCTTTAAAATGCTTTGAAGCATTCATTCATTTTCGGCGTAGTCCCTTTATTAATCTGGGGTCGCCACAACAGAATGAACCGCCAACTTATCCAGCACATTTTTACACTGCGGATTCCCTTTCAGCTGCAATCCATCTCTGGGAAACATCCACACACACTCATATACACACACACACACACACACACACACACACACACACACACACACACACACACACACACACACACACTCACTCTCATTCACTATGGACCATTTAGCCTACCCAATTCACCTGTAACGCATATTTTTGGACTGTGGGGCAAACTGGAGCACCCGGAGGAAACCCACTCGAACGCAGGGAGAACATGAAAACTCCACACAGAAACGGCAACTGACCCAGCCGAGGCTCGAACCAGCGACTCAGCAGGCTTTGAAGCAATTAGTTCAGTTGTTTCTCAAAATGATTCATTGTGATGAATTGTTCGAAACACCATACAGTAGTGACACCTGCTGGTCAAAATTGTGTAAATATTTAAGCATGCGTTAGAACTGAAACAGGTTTAATTTACTAGAACTTTTGTTAAGCTGCTTTGACACAATCTACATTGTAAAAAGCGCTATGGAATTAAAGATGAATTGAAAAATATTGTGAACTTTAAATTGAAAAGATAATCTATTAATGCACTCAGCCTATCAACTATCATTAAATATTAAGAATCTGCACAGGCCTAATAAGTATTCTTTTCTTGTTTTTTTAACAACAAGAGTTTATTAACTAATATTACTCTTTTTAATTGTACAAATGCATTATTAAAGCATTACAAAAAGTGAATCAAGATCTGGTAAAAACAATGAGAACTGTTTAGCGATTCACCACTGGGATGCATTCATTACTCAGATCAAACCCCACGCGGAGAACCATTACATTTTCTAAACAGTTATGATTTAATGAAGCCTTGTTTTCTGATTTGCCACTTTGTCAACTTGATACACACTCTACAAACCACTCTACAAAAGATTTGTAAGGGTTTCAAAGCTTCATGAAGCAGTCGTTCCAAAGCAGCTATGACTTCTTTACTGAACTGAGCTTAGTGGAAACAAGGTGTAAAACCATGAGGTTTAACTATTTAAAACCATTATAATACACATCCACACTGCTTGATTTTACCATGTTACCGCAGACTTAATGTTCTTTTATTAATAGATTCTTTGTTGTTCTGTCAATATGGTGTGATGTGAGTACATATAGGAAAAAAATAACTTAAATGATTTTAGCAAATGGCTGCAATATAACAAAGAGTGAAACATTTAAGGAGGTCAGAATACTTTCTGTACCCATGCTAATTTATTCAGGTGTTATTTAACATTGTTTTATATATAGATCTTTAAGCAACTGTCATAAAACTGTTGTGAAGTAATTTTAATGTTAAGGCTCCTACACACCAGGACGTTTTTCGTTTGTGTTTATCTTCAGCGTATTACAAGACATTTTTCAGTGTTCAAACCCAAGCGCTTTTCATTGGCGTCAAGCAGAAGAGAATGCAAAATCACTGTTTTGAGGTTAGATGGCGCTGCACAACTATAAGCTTCTGACACCCGGTTATAACACAGACGAAGTGGAGGAGCGGAAGTTGACATGTTTGTTGTTAAATTCACTGGTGACTTGGAACAAGCATAGATGGTTCAAGCAGCAGCTCTAGCGATGAAGAAACGATTAGTGTTTACAGAGCAATAAGCAGCTCCACGTTCATATCGCCTCTGTCAATGTGATCGCACACTGAAGATGTCCAGTTTTGCGCTTGAGCGCCTCCAAGTGCTGTTTACAGTAACTTCAGCAGCTTCTTGCATGTGAACAAAAGTGCCGATCTGATTGGTGGAGGTTTTGACGCCGTGCGTCAAAACAAAAGAACAAGCATGAGGGGTTTTTTTTTTTAAATGACACTTTTGCGCCGGGCCTATTGCGCATTGGTGTGCACAATCGCATTGACGCCTTTTTAATTAGTCATGAGGCGTTAAACGTCGATGGAAAACGCAAACAAAAAACTTCTCCATGTGCACGGGCCTTTTGTAACAAAGTTTAATAATGTTAAACACATCGACACGAAATAAGTGGAGTAAAATTATGATATGCATCAGAACTATTTTTATTACGTCTTTATTATGTATTTATTGTTTATTATGTCTTTTCAATTTATCCTTACAGGGGGATTAATTAGCAGGTGTATAACATCTGCACTGACTCCACAGACGTCCACCTCTTCACTGAGTGCTCAGACGTCCACATCTGCATTGACTCCACAAACGTACACATCTGCACTGAGTCCTCAGGAGTCCACATCTGCACTGACTCCACAGACTTCCACCTCTGCACTGAGTGCTCAGACGTCCACATCTGTACTGAATCCACAGACTTCCACCTCTGCACTGAGTGCTCAGACGTCCACATCTGTACTGAATCCACAGATGTCCACCTCTGCACTGAGTGCTCAGACGTCCACATCTGTACTGAATCCACAGATGTCCACCTCTGCACTGAGTGCTCAGACGTCCACATCTGTACTGAATCCACAGATGTCCACCTCTGCACTGAGTGCTCAGACGTCCACATCTGTACTGAATCCACAGACTTCCACCTCTGCACTGAGTGCTCAGACGTCCACATCTGTACTGAATCCACAGATGTCCACCTCTGCACTGAGTGCTCAGACGTCCACATCTGTACTGAATCCACAGATGTCCACCTCTGCACTGAGTGCTCAGACGTCCACATCTGTACTGAATCCACAGACTTCCACCTCTGCACTGAGTGCTCAGACGTCCACATCTGTACTGAATCCACAGACTTCCACCTCTGCACTGAGTGCTCAGACGTCCACATCTGTACTGAATCCACAGACTTCCACCTCTGCACTGAGTGCTCAGACGTCCACATCTGTACTGAATCCACAGATGTCCACCTCTGCACTAAGTGCTCAGACGTCCACATCTGTACTGAATCCACAGATGTCCAGAGATGTATAAAGTACTAGAGACCCATACTTAAGTAAAAGTACAAGTGCTTTATCAAAAATTGACTTGAGTAGAAGTAGAAGTGCTCTTTAAGCACCATATTTAAGTGGAAGTACTAAAGTATTCAACATTTTGTGTACTCAAGTATTGCAAGTAGTTTATTTCAAAATTTACTACTCAAGTACTGAAAGTAAAAGTACAAGTATTGTGTAATGTAGTTATTAAAGAAAGCAGTCAAAATACAATAATTGTTTTTTTTTTTTTTATATCTTTTTTGGGGTACTTGATTAAGCAGAACGAAAAGAAACATGGCTTATGATACTGTTTTTCTCTGTAAATAGTTTCTATGGTACAGGAACTCACATCGTCAGGCCCTTTTACCAGAAAATGCCTTCACTGATGAGATAATTCAGCATGTTCACTCACATACATACTCTCTCTCTCTCTCACACACACACACACATTGCCCTGCACACACCTAAATGTACACTCTCTCCCACTCTTTCCCCACTCTCACACATTCATACACTCTCACACATACAGTTCTCTATCTCTCTCACACACACATTTTTGTGAATTGTGGGGATATTACATAGGTTGCAATTGTTTTTACACCCTCTCTCTCTCTTACACACACACACACACACACACACACACACACATTGCCCTGCACACACCTAAATGTACACTCTCTCCCACTCTTTCCCCACTCTCACACATTCATACACTCTTACACACACAGTTCTCTCTCTCTCTCTCTGTCACACACATTTTTGTGAATTGTGGGGATATTACATAGGTTGCAATTGTTTTTACACCCTCTCTCTCTCTTACACACACACACAGACGCACACACACAGGTACAATCACACTGTTGTTCTCTCTTACGCACACATAATTCACTCACACACACAAAGGCACACTCACACTTTGGGAGTTTTGAAGTTTGATTGGTTAATACCACATTAAACCGGAGTCTTCTGGAAGCACTCGTGAAACTAAACTAAACAAGCAAACTAAATCCTGCTTCACAAATTCACTTGATTTTGATTTTATTAAAAAAAAAAAAAAAACAGGAAAACGTGTATATTACTGTGTTAAATGAAAATCTGAAATATTTTATGGCTATGATTTAGTATGATTTTTTAAATTTATTTTTATTATGTTTTTAATGAAATTGGTCTTACAGTTCATATTTTCTGTAGTATATTTATTAATTCTGGTACTTTTACCATAAACCAACATCTCAACCATTTGGTAGAGGCTGATATTTTAGAAATAATGGGATGTGTTGAATAAAAATGCACTGATTGTGTTAAATAGCGACATTAGGAGTTAAGAAATGCAATCAAAAAAATTCTATTGCTTTTGTCTTGGTGTGACAGTTAAAGGTTTTTTGTAATACAATTTTGTCCTTTAATACAGCAGTCAGATATACGAACTGTGCCCTTAATTTGACCTGCTCAAAGAAAACACTCTTTCTGGATGTATCAAACCAAAACTCATGCACAGAAGACAGCATGAGCATTTACAGCTAATAAACTCATGTCAATATTATCCCGCCTGCTTTTTGAGCGCTGACAGGCGGGTCTTACACGGCTATGATTGGTTATTGTCCCAACAGAAAGGGCTTTAGAAATATAAGCGCTGTACATCCATGGCGGGAAGAATACGCGATTATCACGGGTAATAGACACAGTGGAGAAGGCTTGCACATGAGACACGCTCATGTCTGGATCCACAGCTTTAACAGCTAAGAAGAAGGGAAAAGTTAATACTACAGTGTGCTGTTGCATTCATTAACAAAGTTGTAGATACTGCAGTATATACAGTATAATACAGTTTACTATAGTTAGTATGGTTCAAAAACGTAATATTATTTACTATAAATACTATTACAACTTATTTCATGTGGGTTGAATCGTATCTTTAGAACGATATAACATGATTGAAAGCAGCTCCTAGATAACTCATAACTGTTTCTTATATAAAAAAAAAATAGAGAAGCACCTAGCACAGTCCTTAGCTTAGCTAACAGTATTGAACATATAGATAATTATTAAAATCACAACTTACCCTCTGATTGCTCGAGGCCTCCAACAACGTGAGCTGCCCTGTGTGCTGACAAACAGAAACGCCCCATCTCATTGGCTGGCTCTAGCCAATAAACCGGCTTTGCTGCTCTTTTACTGGTAAGTACATTTCCGCAAAATTAATGATTTTTAACAAGAATCTCTTCAGAAAAGAGTTGAAATAAACCCTAAATAATAAAATATTCATGGGAAATGATTCTTTTGCACCTCAGTCCTGTTGGCTGCTGGCATTGTTCATTGGTCAGGCATCAGCCAATCAAACAGCTTTACACCTCCCCCGCCCCGCGCTGCTCGCGCCTCTGCATCTGCGAGTGCACAGATGAGTTCTGCTACAGAGATCGCGGGAGATGTGTAGCAAAAGTCAGAGCGCGGGAGATTTGTAGTTGTACTGACGAATCTGAGAGGTTGTGAGTGCCGACCTGTGGTTGTAGAGCAAAGATGCAATCAAATTTGCCGTGCACACGTGTGTCTGTCATTAATCTGCAACTTCCAATTTAAAACACAAGTGTGTGGATTGTTGTTGTGTGTGTGCAAATCGAGGATTTCAGCTGTTCACATCAGAGCTGTAAGTGTACATTTCAACCTACACATACAAATATTATTATCACAAGTGCTCACATTTACATTTGCAAGCTCTCAAGTTACGCAACTGATTTACCTTCATAGCTGTGCCGCCTCGTCCTCGCGCTTCCGTCCTTCGCCATAGTATTGCGACATCGCGCATAGGAGATAAATGACATCATCACGTAATAACCGGTTATGGTCTATTACTAAACTGATAACAATCATTTTGACACCCCTAGTAACGAGTAACGATGCAGCACATAAAAAATCTATTGGAGCAAAAGTATTAAACTCATGGAAAATATGTACTTAAATAAAAGTGGAAGTAGGAGAAAAAAAATACTCCAGTAAAGTACAGATACTGCCTTTTAGTACTTAAGTACAGTAGTGAAGTAGTTCTACTTCGTTACTATACATCTCTGCAGACGTCCACATATGCACTGACTCCACAAACGTCCACATCTGCACTAAGTGCTCAAGCGTCCACATCTGTACTGACTCCACAGACGTCCACATCTGCACTGACTCCACAGACGTCCACATCTGCACTGAGTCCTCAGGCGTCCACATCTGCACTGACTCCACAGACGTCCACATCTGCACTGACTCCACAAACGTCCACATCTGCACTGACTCCACAAACATCCACATCTGCACTGACTCCACATACATCCACATCTGCACTGAGTCCTCTGACATCTACATCTGTACTGACTCCACATACGTCCACATCTGTACTGACTCCACATACATCCACATCTGCACTGAGTCCTCTGACATCTACATCTGTACTGACTCCACATACGTCCACATCTGTACTGACTCCACATACATCCACATCTGCACTGAGTCCTCTGACATCTACATCTGTACTGACTCCACATACGTCCACATCTGTACTGACTCCACATACGTCCACATCTGCACTGACTCCACATACATCCACATCTGCACTGAGTCCTCTAACATCTACATCTGTACTGACTCCACATACGTCCACATCTGTACTGACTCCACAGACGTCCACATCTGCACTGACTCCACATACATCCACATCTGCACTGAGTCCTCTGACATCTACATCTGTACTGACTCCACATACGTCCACATCTGTACTGACTCCACATACATCCACATCTGCACTGAGTCCTCTGACATCTACATCTGTACTGACTCCACATACGTCCACATCTGTACTGACTCCACATACGTCCACATCTGTACTGACTCCACATACATCCACATCTGCACTGAGTCCTCTAACATCTACATCTGTACTGACTCCACATACGTCCACATCTGTACTGACTCCACAGACGTCCACATCTGCACTGACTCCACATACGTCCACATCTGCACTGACTCCACATACGTCCACATCTGCACTGAGTCCTCTGACATCTACATCTGTACTGACTCCACATACGTCCACATCTGTACTGACTCCACATACGTCCACATCTGTACTGACTCCACAGACGTCCACATCTGCACTGACTCCACAGACGTCCACATCTGCACTGACTCCACATACGTCCACATCTGCACTGAGTCCTCTGACATCCACATCTGCACTGACTCCACATACATCCACATCTGCACTGAGTCCTCAGGCGTCCACATCTGCACTGACTCCACAGACGTCCACATCTGTACTGACTCCACATACGTCCACATCTGCACTGAGTCCTCTGACATCCACATCTGCACTGACTCCACATACATCCACATCTGCACTGAGTCCTCAGGCGTCCACATCTGCACTGACTCCACATACGTCCACATCTGCACTGAGTCCTCTGACATCCACATCTGCACTGACTCCACATACGTCCACATCTGCACTGAGTCCTCTGACATCCACATCTGCACTGACTCCACATACGTCCACATCTGCACTGAGTCTTTAGACATCCACATCTGCACTGAGTCCTCAGACGTTTACATCTGTATTGAGTCCACAAACATCCACATCTGCACCGACACCACAGACGTCCACATCAGGAAACACTAAGCTAAAGCACAGGTCAATTAGCATAGCAGAAAGCTGAAAAAATCAAATAAATAGAAGCCCAGTAATAACAATGACACACATTCTGTATTATTCGACGCAGTGGCAAAAGTTGAACTATTTTGACTGCAATTGATGTTGTAAAAATAAGCTGTATATGTGATAATTAACAGTATATGTTAATTATCACATAGTATATGTCAGTGACTGTTATAACTGACTATATGAATGTATAATGAAGGTGCAAATAAATGCACTCATTACTTTAAAGCCATATGATGCTGCTCAAATTGTATATAACTTTATTCTATTGGAAGTGTAATCTGTCTTACTGAAGTTTTAGACACATATCTCAACATTATCTATGTAACTGATGTTTTACCTGACTTCTACCTTATAATGCCAGCTTCTATTAGGAAAATAGGTTATGAGATATGATATGCCTAATGGGAGATGGTTATTAGATCCTTACATGCCCTGCTGTCCTCAAGGGGCACCCACACCAGAGCACCCATATTATCCCAGAGATCATAGAGAGGACTATAGAGGGGCTATTATTCATAAGA